TCTTTGAGAAGGATGATGTTACATAAATCTTTAGTTCACTAACCTTCTGTTTAATTGGCTGTGTTTGCACATGTACAATTATTTTGTTCTTTTACGCTATGCATACACATTTGCATTTTAAACATTGCTTATTCATATTAGAAATTGGAGATTTTTCTTTGCGTGATGCAGTGTTTTTCTTAGTTGCTTCTTTCCTCCTTCAGTTCATTCTGGGGGTTTAATAAATGACCAGAGTACTAATTGATTTAATTCAGTACTTGGAGAGCACTATGGTTGGAGACAGTTTTGCCTTGTGTTATACCAAATCTATTAAGCCACTGCTGAATTGATTCTATAAGTTTGGAAATACTGTTACAGAGCCTGAACCGAAGGTTAGCAGTAGAACGTCTCCGTGACTGAAGTGCAATGCCCACTGCTGATTCAGGGGCAGAAATTACGTATAAAAATGAGTTACAGATGAGACTTTTTTTTTACTCTTCCAAATTGACCATTAACTAGCTTTCGGGTCTTTTTGTTTAGAAGGCAATGTTAATTTGAACTCCAGAGCACTTCAAAGAGAGAAGTAGAGTGGGGGGTGAAAACAAAAATATATTTTTTTCAGAATGTAAGTGAGCTATATATATGTGTGAACTACACAAGCTTTTGGAATCGCAAATGTGTTTCAAATTATCGAGTTTGAAAATAGTAGGTGTACGTGGAAAAATATTATCTTGATAGAAAAAGGCTTATTATTTCTACTGTAACAGAGGAATTAATTCAAACGAATGTTCAGAGTTCTAAAAGTTGGATGTTTTACTTTGTTTTGTTTTATTCGCTTTTATGTTTGTAAGGATATTACAGTGGTTAAGTCCATGAAGAGTCCTCCTGCTGGTGTCAAGCTTGTAATGGAAGCCATATGCATCCTTAAAGGTATCAAGGCAGATAGGATTCCTGATCCAACAGGTTCCGGAAGAAAAATTGAGGATTTCTGGGGTCCAGCTAAGAGACTTCTGGGTGACATAAGATTTCTTCAGTCCCTTCATGAATACGACAAGGATAACATTCCCCCGGCTTACATGGCTATCATAAGAAAACAGTATCTTACAAATCCTGAGTTTGTACCAGACAAGATTCGAAATGCTTCCACAGCAGCAGAGGGTCTATGCAAATGGGTCATAGCCATGGATGTTTATGATAAGTAAGTATGTGTAAAAATAATAATTAAAATAAACTTTGTTGAAGAAGTGAGTTTGTATTTACGCTAAAGGAAATTTGATACTACTTCTTACCGATGCAAGATTTGTGCGAATAAGCAGTCATAAACATTCATTCATAGAAGATATCTGATGTTAAGGTGTATAACCTGATTTTCAGTTCTAGATTTTTCTGAGAAGGCACAGGAGCAATGTTTATTCAGTTAGCAAATAAAGTTAACCTTTTTGGAGTGTTGCACATAGCAAACAGAGGTATTATTGAAATGTCTTTGGAAGTTTCTGACCGTATTGAGCCCCGAGGATACCTTGCGTATCCTTATGCACGATGTTTTTGGTGTGCTGAAAAAATATACGTAGTTTTGATGATGTTTCCTACTCAGAAATATTTGGAACCCACATTTAACAGTAAATCACCACTGGGTGACTAAGGTCAATCTGAAATTTGAGTCATGGTAAGTAGCGTTAGAATGGTAGTCGTTGGCTAAAATATTAGGAAATGCATACTTGGTAGTTCTGCATTTGAGAACAACTTCAGAAGTTATGGTGACCTATTTTTTTGTGAGAAAATTAACTACAAATGTGGACTTTGAAGAGGATATGCAACTTAGAAGTAAGAGAGAGGATTAATTAATTACAAAGTTAATACTCATGGAATAGTGAGATAGGGACATTCTGTCACCTTGTCTTGCTACATTTTTGGAAAGATAAACAGTATGTTTTCCATTTTGTGTTGCTTCCAATGCTCTCCTCATAGAAGTATTGGTAGAAAATACCGGAGTCTTCAAAACCGGAAAATACATCCTTGGATGTGAACAGCTATGAATTTCCTTGTGGGTTAGCTCTTTGCATGTGTTCAGTGTATCTGTAACTTAATACAATTATTTATGTGTTTCCAGTGGCAGAAATCCATCTGTAATAGATTCTAAGTTGTGACTAAATGAGATACAGCTCAGAAGGATAACCATTTTCACTTTAAGGTATTAGTTATTACAGAAAGTTTTGCAGAAACTGCCAAAGTCAGTCAGTAGCAGCACAGAAATAAGTAATGAAGTAAATGAAGCAAACACCAATTGTCTTCTCATACCACCAAATAATGAAAAACAGGAGAGTACATAGCTGCCGAGTTGCTGACATTTCCCTTCGTCTTTCCTGTATTAACTTTTTTTGACAGTAATTCTGGAATGAGGGTGCATTTTTCAGGTGTTCAATTTATTCTTTGACTTTGTTTAGAGTGATAAAAAATGTTGCGCCCAAAAAGCTGAAGTTGAATGAAGCTGAAGGAGAATTGAAGATTGCTATGGATGGTCTAAGAAAGAAACAAGCTGACCTGAAAGAAGTCTAGGATAAATTGGCTGTACTCCAGCAGATGCTGGAATCCAAGAAACAGGAGAAGGCTGACTTAGAAAATCAGGTACATGATGCAAAATATGAACTGTTGTTCCACCGATTTTTCATCAGTTACTTGAAATTTACTTCATTATCAAATGGTATTTTTCCTTTTAACTGCCTGTGTGCTGTCTTACTTGTAGATTGACATCTTTTTATTTCAGTGATAAGATCTTGAAGATTTGAATGCACAAAGCATAGGGAACGAATGCTTTAGAGTAATGAAAAATGCAGATGTCGTGATTTACAGGCATAGCTCTCCTGCATCCTCACTCACATTTGCTTTCCTAGGAGTTGGTTAATTTTCAGTGGTTTCAATGATTTTGATTAAATGTTAACTTGCAGGCCAGTACATTTGAGGTTTTAGTTACACCTTTTGTGCCAAAACAATGTTTAGCGTGTTCGTGGTAAACTCTGTTCCTAACTGCAGAGCTACTGTGCGTGCAAAGACAGGCAACGTTTAGACGACGGTTTTTTATTTTGTATTTTTAAGATTTGCAATGCAACATCATAAGGTTTTGTTACAAGAATACTATCAGAATTTAAAATGGAGCCATTTTATCATCTTCTGCCTGAAAAGTGTCCATAGCAGATAGAAGGAACTCAAGAGACAGAGCTGGATTAAATGCCTGTTAAATCAAATTGGAAAATTTGGAAAAAAACTTGGAAAGCTGGTTTAGATAAAAACCTGCAACAGCGGAAATGCAGATTATGTATTTGTGTTTTTTCACAGGAAATAACATAAATACCTACTTTAGTGAGACAACGACCTCTTTGAGTTGTTTTTGATTCTTTTGGACACGTAGATAATTTCGTTGACTTCAGTATTTTCCGTATCACATGCGGAGCTATCGTGAATTGCAGTGAATTGCGGGTTTTATATTTGTTGTCTTTCTTAATTTAGATGAAAAGGCAGCTGAAATTTAATGGGTTTCACTGTGCCGGTAGCGAGAGTGTTTTTGCTTTCAAAGCATTTCATTTGTAAATCGATGTTTTCTTTATGTTTCAGGAAATTGTGTAAGAAAGCACCTGCAAAGAGAAATTAATTGTGAATACTTTTTTTAATTTGTCAAGCGATCACGTAATATAATCAGTTTCATTTCTTTTTCCCGTAAGGTTGAACTATGCTGCAAAAAAATGCAGCAAGCAGAGCAGTTGATTGGAGGCCTCGGTGGTGAAAAAACTCATTGGAATGAGACCGCTTTGGAGCTGGCAAGGCAGTACATCAGTTTGACTGGAGATATACTTATTTCGTCAGGAATCGTAGCTTACCTAGGAGCATTTACATCCAGCTACAGAAAAGTAATGCGCCCTGTAACTTCATGCATGTGTTTTGTAATAATCTAAATTTAATTCACTTTACTTCTTCCTTCCCTCATTTTTAATCAAAGTAATTATTTTCTCCATTTTTCTCAAGAAAATGTTGTGCTGCTTTTTC